GGTAAATTTAAATTTTTTACTAAAAAAGGTAAAACAGTAATTTATCACTTGGTACAGGTTGTAAATCTGATTTTTTTAGGGCTTGGATGACAAAACGAACCTAACCATTGGATTCTTCTTGCGAAATCTAGTTATCTTGTAAAATTTTGTTGAATTTTAAGATAGTCAGATTTTTTACGTTTTACGAGGCGATTGGGTCTCGGGTGATCCAAAAATAAAATTTTTAATAAAATTTTAAAATTTGAAAAAAAATTTAAAGTAAGTTAAAATAAAAATATTTTAAACTTGAACTAGAACAAAATTTAATCATTTTAGATCGAAAACGGACCCGAAAAAGGAGGGTCATGTGGCGCAATGAGGATCAAGTGTTTAGGGAGTATAAAATGGGGAGAAATATTAGATTTCTCCTCATTTAGTCTATTGGTTCTCACATTGGGGAGGAAGAGACGGAAAAAAAAAAGCTCTACAACTTATCTCTACATCTACAGAGATTGAGTGCTCGAATCAACACAAGCCAAGAATTAAAGTTATTTTCCTCGACAAGGACTACACGTCCATACTAAAAAAGATGGATTCCACTGAAGTTTCAAGACGAGATTTTAGGGAAGGTGAAGATTCTAGCTTGAATCGGGTTCTTGAAACTTCTTAACGTCATTTTACGCTTCAAGAGGTAGGGTTTTCTCCCTATTTAGGTTTATTTCCAACCTAGGGTGGGTATATGAAATGGGTAGGATGTTAGATGTTTATAACCCTTGCCTATTGTTTTAAAAATTGAGGAAATGAGTATTGATATTAGGTAGAATAAATTCTATCTTGACTTGATGTATGAAAATTGCTAGTTTGTGATTCTTAAAAAAATGGTATTATATGGGCATGCTATGTGTTTATATTGTGTCATGTAAATTAAGTATGTCATTGACATAGATTATGTGCTAACATGCTTGAGATTTGATGTTGGGTATAATGTTAATATATGTGTTATGATATGTTAGCATTATGATGAATGTGTGGAAATTATATGTTTTTGATATAATTGGCTATAGACTGGTGGAAATTGCTCATTTAGTATTCATTGTATATTGGGCATGATGTTGACATCACATTCATGAGCATTGGGCATGAGTGTGGGTGTATGTGCATAGTTGAATCAAACACTATACTTGGTAAATGATGGGTGGGCTCGAAAAAAGTTAGAATGAAGTTCTGACTGAGTTGCACGGTTGTATAAAAAATTTGTGTTGGGTATAGCAAGCAGGGCTAGATTCTCCCACTGGTGAAAATTCGACTACCTTGTTCATACACTCCCCTAAGGTGAAATTCCAGAACAGTGTATCGGTGTGCAGAACCGGCGGTGCGACACCAAAAATCTGTTACCCAGCAAAGACACATGATTTTATTTTTAAAATATCATTGGACGTATATCATCAATGATAGATTTTTACACATTACCATTGCATTGTGTTGAATGGGCCAGAGAGTGCTCGAGTTAAAGTGCATGAGTGAATCTCATTTTATTTTATGGCATGATATAGGATTCTTATCATTGAATGCATATTCTTGATTGGAATGTTTTACATGGTTGATTGTCACATGTGAACATTTTATATGCATCTAGGTTGAAGAGTAGCCTATTTAGGAGATACTCTATCGAGCGTGGCTCACCCTTTATGAGACAATATTTCATATGCGGGATACACGCCGGTAGACGGCTCTCATTCGTACTCTTAAGGAGGAGGAAAAGACGAAATGTGGCTTTATTTTGAGTTTTTGTAAAATTATTATCAAAAACTTAATTTTGGCATGCAAATATACGGAATTGCTTGTAATAGAATTTGTTGTATCATGTTTCATGTGAAAAAATTCATTAAACATGTATTGAATGGTTATGAGATGAATTTGATAGGATTGAAAATTAAAAACAAGTGAAACAGACAAATCTGGACAAACCTACCGGTAGAACATTAACCTACCGGTATAACTTTGTCTAGTAGGCAAAACCTACCGGTAGAACATTAACCTACTAGTAGAACTTTGTCCAGTAGGCACAAACCTACCTATAGGACATAGAACATTAACCTACTGATAGAACTTTTTCAGTGGGCAAAAACCTACCGCTAGGACAATGACAAACCTATCGGTAGGTTTGTCAAAAATCTCAAATTTTAAGAATGTTGTGTCATGCTTTCGGGCTATGTGTCCTCTTATTCAAATAATGTAAATGGACATTAACTAAGGATAAATTCTTGCATATTGGATCTCGGATGGGTCATGTGAATGCCTTGAATACAAGTTATGCATTGGGAGTTCCTGGTACAAAGGAGGCTCCGTCCAAATTTTGGGTTTTGTGATCTCGATTAAGAGGATGTTATTGATGTGATGTCAGATTGTGCGATGATCACGAGTATTTTCACGAGTTGATGGACATTCAATGGTTGACAAATGACACTTCGAATTTTGGGGCGTCACAACCTGACCTCTTCTAGCAACATATTGGAGAAAGTGACCACGTTGTATAAGCTCCGCAATCTATCTCTTAAGGTCGTAGAAATCATTGGTATCGCGACCATGGTCGTAATGGAAACAACAATATTTGTTCGGGTTCTTGTGGTTTGGAGGAAACTTCATCCTTCCCTGCCACTTTATTACGGGGTCATTCTGGATTTGGAATATGATGTGTCTAACAGTGACGTTGAGGGGAATAAAGGCTTGTCAATCTCTTTGAGGAGCAGGACCAAATCGGTCTTTGGCAGGTATCCTCTCTGTTCTTCTACGCTTGTTGCTACTTTTTTTCTTCTCGTCTCTGTCTCTTTCCTTTCTTTTCTTGCTTGTTCGGGAGGACTCGCCTTGTCTGACCCTTGTGATGTCTTCAGCGTTCATATACTTTTGATCTTTTGTCAAAAGCTCTGGCATGTTTTTCGGTGGACGCTTCATCACTGAAAAGAGGAAGCTTGACGACCGGAGGCCTTCCAAGAAGGTGGTCATAGTTACCTTGTCATCAGGCTCTTCAACTTGGAGAATCTCCTCGTTAAAACATGTGAGGTAGCTCCTCAAGCTCTCGTCTTGGTCTTACTTTATGCTTAATATATGGGTGACAGGCTTGTGATGACGGCGCCCTCTGATGAAGTGGGACATGAAGGACCTGCAGCAAAGGAGCTAATGGAGGCTGGGAAGAGCTTGACAAACCATTATTGGGCTGATCCCTTCAGGGTGGTTGAAAAAATCCTACACATAATTTCGTCGGAGACGTTGTGCAGCTGCATTAATGTCTTGTAAGTCTTGAGGTGATCTAATGGATCCTTAGTACCATCAACGGTTTCGACGAATGACATCTTGAACTTCTGGAAAAGTAGGTTGTTTGCCACGTCAGGTACGAAGGGTGTGTCAATTCACCTAACGAGATAGTCCACCGTCTTAGGTCCTTGCACCTTCACGACGTTGAAAATATCACCCAGTTAATTTTGTACCTCTTTTATTTTTTTGTCCCAATGGTTGGGAGCTCCTTTGAAATTATCATGAAAATAACTTTCATGCTTCACACTTTGGTTTTCACCCTCATCCTGTTAGAAAAGAGGGTCTCTACCATGAGAAACAAGAGTTGGAAGAAGAGGTAGAGGTCCCTCATGGGAAGCTCCCCTATGCGGGGTGCCCAAGGGGGCGCCCGGAGCTCCTTGAAGCACAGGGCATGGAGTTCCTCTGGCTTGGGGTTCAACCGACTGTGCTCTTCCTTGTCCAGCAAGCATGAGTTGTAGAATCTGCTGATTTTGGGCTACAAGCTGCGCATTGTCCCCAGCATTTGTTGCGCATTTGGTGACAGGATTGGTTGATGGAGAAGCAACCTCCTCCTTCTCTCGTGGTGGAGTATCCTCATGTTGATTCATCGATCTGGTGGTGATCGTCATAGATTCAATAAAGAAAGTACTCAAAAGTGAGAATTTTGTCTTTCCCACAGACGGCGCCAAACTGATGATGTACAAATTATATTTATACACCACTTTTCTGATAAGTAGTAATAAATGCAATAATTAAGAGAGACACAAGCAGAACAAGGTTTATAGTAGTTCAGTCAACGTGACCTACGTTCACTTTGAATGACTAAGGTCGCCGGATATTTTATTACTTCAAGTGTGTAAGGAGAGCAGAAAATTACAAGTTTTGAGAAGGAGATGAGAGTTGTGCTCGACTGAGTGTGATGCCCCCTAAGTGTTGCGCGAGACTTACAATTTATAGTCGCCTTATTACAAATTTGGGAGAGATATTAATAACTAAGTAACTAGTCTGTTAGATCTGACAATCTCTTCTCAACGGACGAGGTGGTTATGGTGCTCTTCATGAGATTCGGTCAAATGATGACGTGAGGAATTGACCCTTTTTAAGGTGACATTTATGAGGCTCTTGGATAACCCTAAATGCTCCCCTGTTGATGTAACTCGTCAAACTTGATAAGCTTAATCGAGTGGGAGCCACTTTAAGCTGAACTTGTTGAATCTCTTAGAGTTAAATTGCTAATTTAGACTGAATTTATAACATGATCTTAGAGTTAAATTACTAATTTAGACTGAATTTATAATATGAATTGAGTCGTTGAACTTAGCCCATCAACTTCTCTGACGAATAGCATCACTTCCAACTAAGTGATATCACCTATTTTATTTATATGTCACGTCTCCACTTTTGACTAGTCTGACATGTCTTGTCAGTATCAATTGTCACAATGTGTAAAAACCAAAACCCTGCCCCTATTAATATTTGAACTCATTACTTTTTCAACGTTGAAGCTCAAATTTCTCCAAACTATATCTAGAAAAAACTCACCCAATAATCTCCTTAGTTCTTTCTAGCTATAATAGCATAGCATCTTTGAACTCTTTTAAGGACTGCTATTCAGCAATCGGTAGGTCCTTACTAGGCCCATTTCCTTCGTCCTCAACTAGCGCAATTACAAAGTGTTTACTTAATTATGATATTGCTCTTGTTTGGATGCTCATTACTCTACGCTTTATGCAGAAGTTTCGAGACACTAATAGAAATTATGAAATAAAAATTACAAGAGATTTTCCGACCATTTCCGGTAATACTGGCCCCTAGATCCATTTGTATTGTTCGAGGACATGTGCACCGGTCTCGTTGTCTTTGCATTTCAGAGATACCAGAAAAACCCAGAATATGCATATCATTCCCAACACTTGTGATTACAATGGAAATGGCATTTAGATTGAAAACACACTATTGCATTTCATTCACATTCAAACCACCCACCCACTGGCCCACACTGATGCCTTTGCAACCACGGCAAAGACTTATGGTGGTACGCCTCCCTTGCAAGCTACTTTTCCACGGTAGACTAATGAATCAAACTTTTGAACTAATATTAAGCAGCTGATGGTGCGGCCACGTACTGCACCGCACCAGCCTCTGACATAGCTGCAGCTATCAAGGGCTGCAATATCACAGGCTCGGCGACGCCTGCATTGGCTGCCACACCCATGTCCATGTTGTAATCCAATGACTCATCTTCGTAAATGTCCCACCATTTCTGTACCAGCATCTTTATGTCCTCCCTCTGCATGTTCTCTTCTTTACCCGTATATCTCCACGGCTTTGAGCCCTGTCCATATTTACCAATTCATCATGATATTAGAACGCACTATAAACCACATAACTAAACTAACAAGTCAAGTATGATTCGCCCGGAGTCAATTTCACAGATTAGAAAGGAAGAAAAATATATACCGCTGCACAATAGTGAACAACTTTCACTTTGTCAAGCTCCACGTTCTCTGGATGGCGCCACAACATTGCAAGAACAAGGTTATAATCAAGAGGGATAGGCTTATATATATCCCTGAAGTACATGTTCAAAAAGTCCTGCAGTGCGAAATAACGTTAAAAATTTCAATGACAAAACAAGCAGCACTCAGAGTGACAAATATAGAAAAACAATTAATAATAAAAAAAATTGTAGTTCACCTGTTCGGCAAAAGAAGTGGGAGTAGTAATTTTGAGGGTACTCAAAAGCTCAGCATATGTGGATAGGCTAGGCTCAAAGACGAACATGCCGGCGTTGAAGTAAAGTGATGGTGGCTGACCCGTCTCCATCGGCCACTTGACCTTGTCCGGGCACTGTTGACAGTAACCAATTTTGTACTGTGGCGTGTGACTCCATGTTTTCTCACAAAAACAATCCATTACCGCATAGAAATGACCATCGGGCAAATCAAACAGATGATCTATGTTACTGTACACTTGGATATCTCCATCTAAATATATCATCTTACTGTACTCCACAAACTGTAACCTCAAAACCAAACAAAACCGCCAAAAAATAAAAAAATCAGATTAGTATACCGACATATTTAACAACAGACTGAATCAAAAAGGCAAGGATGTTCATCAAACATATATAGAAAAGGTCAAAGCATGCTTGGACTTATATGGCCCAAGACATCCATCATCAGGGATAACAACGACCAATTTAACGAGACAGGGTCGACCCCACATGAATTAACAAAGCTGAGGGGATTAAAAAATGACACGTGTAAAATAAATATTGTAAGCAGGCCACGTAACAACTACAACTACAAGTACGTACCTCCCATATACGAAGCTTGGAGTAATTAATGACATAATAGGCCATGGCGAACTGGGTTTGATTCTCTGGAGGATAAACCGGTTCTATCTCTCTGACGATGCACCCTTGGGACTCTAGTATACGGCGGTGCTCAGCTGGTACGTCCGGCAATACAGCCACCACCAAAGGATAGGCTGTCTTGACCTTCCTCAAACCATTGGCCAGCCCAACAACACCTTTGACATAATCACCATTACCAGCCAGGAATGTCACAAAAGCCCTGCTTTGCAAAGTCACGGGCTTAATAGCTTTGCAAACAGCTGAGGCCACAACTTCAGCAGCCATATTACTCACGACAAATGTGGGGGAAAAGAGATCCTGAAGATCAGATGAAAATGAAATGGAGTATATGGCTTCAGATAGAGAAGAGAACAAAAGAAGAGGGATGACCTCTTACTGGGTTGGAATATGTGCTATAAAGTTCTTGTGCGAGGAGTGATAGTAGTGGTGCTTATTAAATAGGCGTGGATATTGAGGTTCCGCGAAGCTTCACGAAATCCAGGGACTATATTTATTCGGCTTGGAAGACACTAGAAGAAGGCCTCTTCTTTCCGGGCTAAGCTAAAATGATTTTGTGGACTGAATTTGTCTGTCACTTTATTTAGGTCACGGCCCAATTTGATCATATCATTTTACCTGGGAAAAAAATATAAAAAGGACATTGGTATTAAAATACTGCAAGCAGATCTCCCTTTTATGGAACCAGCCAAAAAACATACAAAAAAGATCTCCCTTTTATGGGAAAAAGATCTCTCTTTACTTGATCGTGTCAATTAATAGAAGGGACCAAAAAAGGTAAAATAGAACAAATAAAATTTTCAATCGGGGAGAAAGTGTTATACTTTGTACTCTATCATTAGAGAATTGGAGTAATAAACTTCCATTGTTTTGTATATGAGGGGAGGGTAAAGCAGAGGAATTTTTTTTATTTAAATAATAATTTTTACCCTTGTAATAAAACTTGAATCTTTGATTTTTTTTCTTGGTCTCCGATGATTATCTGCTAACAAATAATGCAACATCCCATTTTTCTCGGAACCTTCTTCCTCCTATTTTTCTACTCTCGCGGTCCCTCTCTCTCTCTCTTTCACTCTCACTCTCACACACACATAATAACAAAAAAATTCAAAGATAATCAAGAACATTACGATACTTTATAGATTGGTCATGAGAACACCAAAATTCTAACCATGAAAATGAACAAAGAAGAAAAAGAAGATTTATTAAAGTAGAAATTTCCATTTCTTTTTGTGTGATGACTTATTATAACTTTTATGCCCCCACATTACATATGCGCCAGAGCTAGTGGGTCCGATTGGTTTTGTTTTTTTTTTTTTTAAAGCTTATTTTTTGTGTTTGTTGGTTATAAAAAATTCCTTTCACCGAGAAACTACCAGAGGTAAGAACATACCGGAGAGTTGGAGAACAATAATGTTCATGATTTGATCTTGATCTACGTCATTCTTCAACAAAATCTATATTTATAATTAGAAACTTATTATCAAAAAATTAACTCCTTCACAAAAGAAATCCTGGCCAATAATGTCCACATCTCTCTTAATTAAGGAAGGTTGATTTTTCAAATGATGCCGAATTAAATAGAATTCTCAAAAATAAAAGTAATGGTATTTGTATCTAATTTATCAGTCTAATCATATATAATTATTTGATTGACAATAGACCCCATAATATATTAGGACTCATAATTAATTTAATAATTATAATAAATTTAATTAATAAATTAAATTTAAATAATAATTAATATAAATGTTAAATCAATGAGGATATATATATATATATATATATATGAGTAGAGGCATTTAAACTCATTTTTTCAAAAGAATTTAAAAAATTGTTCAAATTTAACTCTTTTAAAATACTAATCGAGTTCAAGCCGAATTTTATTTGAACTGAACTTGAGTAATTCGTCTCGATTAACACTCCCGACTTTAGTTTGTAGAATATAGTAATTAGTATTCGGTTGGTCAACACACCACCTGCCATGCACGTGACATAGCCAGGGACAATTCGATATTATAAATATTGAAATTCTTTTTATTGTTTGCCCTAATTTATATTAATTACACATCTCTCTCGTTTAAATTTCGGCTTGTTTGTGCAGCCCTCCCACCACAATATCCACCCCCCGATCCCCTCCTACAGTTTATGTTACACTGTTTAACACATACCTATACGAACTTTGGCCCAGGTCCGTCTGATCCGCCGCCCACACTATGTTCTATTGTTAATTTCTCTCTTTTGTGCACTTTCTTACGAATTTTTTTTTTCTTTTTTGCAACCAAACATCCCTCCCTGAATCGCTTAATCACCATCTTCTCTCCTATCTGTCAATTCTCGCTTGCAAACACGGTCCCTCTAAAAACAACCATAAATGCTACTGGAGGTCTCATCTTCACACACAAATCAAAACTTTATGGGTTCGTGACGACGAAGTATATGTCCACTTTACTTTTCTCTCTACTCTTTATTACATTACTCTCAAATAATAGTGAAACCCACTCTCCCTTCAAAAAAAAAAAAATCCCTCCTTCACACAAGATTTAATATACCAAATTTAAAATTAAATTCAATTTAACCCAATCCAAAATCAAACTAATCAAAAACATGATCATCCAAAATCAAAACCAAATTGAACAAAACCCACCCCCATGCCAACCCCCCACTAACAAAAATGGGACCACCACACGTGCGCCCCTTCGTCTAGCTTAGTGGTGCACTCTGAATCACAAACATAAAAAGCACCACTTCCGCGACCAATCACATAATTTCAGAGTATTTCTCCAAACTCAGTCTCTCCATCATCTTTATTTTCAAACCCAACATTTTTTAAACTTATTGTCAAAATCCAGTCTTTTTTTAAAAACATTATTTAGAATGACGCTTTCATGGGTTAAAACGTCATTTGAAATAACATTTTTAAATTGATTTTTTTTTATTAAAAACGTCTTTTTTATTGAAAACGTCATTTTTAATGACGTTTTTTAAAATAAATTTTCAAAGGGCAATTTAACAGACGTTAAAATTGTTGACCCATAAAACGTCACTTGTAATGACATTTTCAAAAGATGTCTACAAAAAAATAAAAATCATATAAACCTTAAAAAACTATAAAAAAAAAAAAAAAAACCCTTAATAACCCTAAAAAACCCTCTATTTTTTTTAATAACACAACTTACGAGATTGTGAATTATTTTTATGATATATAAAATTTTTTGTTCAGTCATGTTTTGTTATAACAAAAAAATATTATTAAAGCGTGTTTCGCACAAAAATTTATAAATTTTGAAAGCTACTAAAAAATTAAGCCATAAATTAAAAAAAATTTAATTAATTCAATGTAGTACATTACCAAAAAATGATTAAAATATTGTTTGTGTGTGTAGTACATAAATTTTATGACTAATTTTGAGAAATTTGTTTTATATATGTTAAAAAATTGTCAATTTCAATGTTATGTTATAAGTTCGTCGAACAAAAAGAGTTGACCTATAAAAGTGTACAAAACATCAAAAATATGGAAAAATATATTTATACATTAAACAAAATAATTTTATTACATGAGGTTGTGAAAAATACAGTCTGTCAATATTATGGTTGATGTAAAAAATAACATAAAGGGTTGTTGAGTACACATAAATTCGATGAACTAAAAGTATCAGACGCATCATTACTTAAATCAGAATAATCAGAAAGTTCAGTATCTAAAACAAATAACGGATCCTGTAAAATTTGAATTTCAGCATAATTAGAATCAAAGTGCTCATTTTTTACATGCTTGATTGCATGAAATCGATCAAGTCTACACTGCATCTGGTCATTTTCTCGTTCAAGTCTTGCTGTGATCTCGTTATGGTTGATAGAGTATTGTGGATCATATATATCAGTCGAACATGCCTTTGGTACCATTAATTCATGCCAACGGCAATATACTTCAAGTTCACAACGTTCGTCATATAATTGTGTCCATCTTGAAGTGGGTTTGATACGAACACTCGGAGGTGGATAGTCGGTCACAAACCCAACAAATACGTGTCAAACTTGACCGAATGAGTGATAACAGTCGATGGGCTTATTACGGAACTTAGGTTTTGTCCATACCAAGTTACACCGATAGCATTTGTGTAAGATTCAATTGAATAAACTACGTTCGACAATGCTGCTCGGCCAATAGAGCATTCATATTTGTTGGTTGAAGATGAACTTTGTTGTTCATTGCGTGATGAAAAACCTTGGATGGTTTGACTGGATTGCCTACTAGATGTACGTCTAGACATTTTTTAGGTTATGATATACATAATTAATAATGATGGTTTGTATAGACACGAAATACAATTATATATAAATTTGACAAGATAATTACTGGGTACGACTAACATGACTTGACACAGATAAAGTAATAATATGACTTCACACTAATAAAATAATGATATAACTCGTGAATTACAAAAGGACTGATACGACTTGACACTAAACTAACTACACTGATAAAGCAATGAAATGACTTCACAATGATAAAGTAATGACATAACAATTCAAATACAAAGGACTGTCATGACTTGACACTACACTGGTTACACATGATTTCTATCTTCCAAATGAATAATTGCATACTTTGTTAAGTTTCATTAGACATATAATCATCTGACAAGTATTGTGTATTAGAAAATATATTATTTTGCTCAATTGGTATCAACTCTCGTCCATGTGCAGTTCTCATCACGTCTTTGGCTTGTTTGAGCATATAATAGCGAGACATACGAACCAACATTCTATTATTCTCTCTTCGAACTTGTTTTACTGTTGATTCGTAGTCTTCTTTATTCTAGAGTTGCATTGTTAGTGATCATCTACGAGACACTAGTATGTCAAATTCTCTTAGTTGTGTGAATAATTTGTCTGATTCTTTAGCACGAAAAGCCCACTCTCATCGTATTCCTGCATAATATTCTTTTAGATCAAAAAATCTTTCATTCTTATAATCATATTTTCGCTCTTGTAACAACCAAACCCGTTTACGTCTGCGATTGTTAAATCTCGTAGAAAATATGATGTAGACATAATATTGTGTTTGTCATATCAACCACAAATAAAGTGTTTAAATAGTAGTGTCCAAACCCTAGTGTGCTAGACATGTCACATTAGTCAATAGTAAGACATTGTAGTCATCAGAGGTCATTTAGGGTTTAGTCATGCCTCAAACTTGTGTAAGGTCAATTTAAGTCTTTGCCCTAAACAAATGTGTGTTGTCACTTCAACACATGGTATGCAGAAACTCATTCAGGGTTAAGTTAGTTCAGCACATGGTATGTTGAAACTCATTTAGGGTTTAGTCATTTCTCCACATGGTTTGCTAAAACCCATTCAGGGTTTGGTCACTTCACCACATAACATTAAGTAG